CGCGCGCGCGGGAACGCGAGACGCCGCCCGCTCTCGGGTCCCCGCCCCCGCGGCTCCGGGAGCGTGCGGGGCTGGGGAGGGCGGGGCCTGGGGCCGGGCACGCGCCTGCGCCCCCCCCCCCCCCCCCCCCGCCGGGCTCGCGCACCCGGCCCGCCTCCTGTCAACCCCAGCGCGGCGGGTCAGGTGGTCCCCGATCCTCCAGCTTCCTGGTCCCCCGGGCTCTGCGTCGTGTCTCCGGCAGATCGCCTTTCCGATTGTTCTCCGGCGCGGCTGGAGGTGTAGCCCCTAGCCGAGCTATGGTGCCTCAGCAGATGTGAGGAGGTAGTGGGTCAGGATAAACCCGCGCACTCCATAATAACGCGCTGGGGCTCAGTGACGGATTTGGGTCTGCATTTTGTGAGCATCTAGTGTCTAGAGACTGGGCTCGCAGAGAGGAACGCAGCAGGCTGAGAAGAGGCACGGCCTGTTCCGCAGGAGTTTTTGCCTCCCTTAGCCAATGTGAGCCTTACCGCGAGATCCCCACAACCTCTGTCGCTAGAGATGGTTACCATCCTAGGATGGCTTGATGCCAAAGGCCCAGGGACAGTCTTTCATGAAAGCCTCTAGCAAATACTTGTCCCCTTAAATTTTTCTCTATATTATGAACCGACGGTCTCGCTTGGTTCTTGAATTCTTGTATTCCCAGAACACAAACTGGTAAAAATGAATTCTTCATAGGGTTTTGATGCGAGGTTTCTTCTTCCTTTCATCTTAAAATAACAAACTACTAGAAGAAATACACCCTTCATATCTTCTCAAATAGTCAGAAATAAGGGTCAGTTACTCAGCAGACAGCTAACTCAGCGCTGGGGAAAACACTAGACAGTTGCCAAAGATCGGTCATGTTCTGGGTGGTCTCTGAGAGTTTGAAGACATTAGTTCTTACTGCACAAAATAGTTTTACAATCAGTTCCACCAGTCAGCCCCAGGGGCCTTCCTAGATAGAGGAGCCAACAGGCAAGTCTGCCTAGGGAAAAGACAGGCAAGGGGCCAGTGGAAAACATATTTTTTTTTCCCCTAACAGTTGGGCATTTCTATGACTCTGAAAGTAAACTTGTTTGCTTCATTTCAACAATGGGGAGAAAATCCTATTTTGGAAATGTCACCAAGCATAAAAATATATTTGCAACGGGGGAAAAGGGCAACTAAGGACCACCCAGAAGAAAATACTTTTCTCCTGAATGTTTTTAAGTTTGCTATTTCCCACTGTGGGTTTGTCTCATTCTACAGATGTCTGTGTCAAAAGTTATACGTGATATAATTGGAAGATTTAAATTTGAGTCATATCCTACCTATCCTAGGAAACTGACAAAAGAAATTCTATAGAGTTGTTTTATAGAGCAAATAATAATACCCTCTTTTCTCTCTTCTTTCCTGTTTGTGTTGGGTGGAGATAGTATTAGAAGATGAGTCTGGTTTGACTTAAAAAATCAAGTATCACTAAAATTGTCCTTCCAGATCCAAAACAGAGATCTCAGGTGCCCAACATTCTATAGACCTTGCTTCCTCCAGAGGTTGCTGGGGACAGTTGCATAGATCTACCGTGAACCATATTCAGGAAAAAAAAAATCACTGTTAGTGAAGTTCTGCCATTTGTACAAGACTGCATTTGATGGACCAAAGGTAAGGATCAAACCATTTCACTCTGCGCTGGGGCAGGGTGGGGGTGGTGGTGGTGGTGGTGGTGGTGGTGGTGGCAATACCCTATTAGATATATTTAGTGTTCTTTCATATCAAGTGACTTTCAAGTGAAGACTGTATGTTCCTGGGGGCATTCTGGTTGTGTATGGGAAGATGAAGTCATCCTTGACTTTAGAATGCCTGGCTCTCCTCCTTGCTATCAGTCTTGATATGGCAGAGGTATAAACCTCTGTGTTTTGAGTTTTTCTTCACTCCCTACTGACTGTGTATGTAAGATTATGTTCCAACACTCTAGATGTATTTCAGATTTGCCTGCCCTCCCTTCTCCTCCTCCTCCTCCTCCTCCTCCTCCTCCTCCTCCTCCTCCTCCTCCTTCTCTCCTTCTCCTTCTCCTTCTCCTTCTCCTTCTCCTTCTCCTTCTCCTTCCTCCTCATCCTCCTCCTCCTCCTCCTCCTCCTCCTCCTCCTCCTCTTCTTTTCTGGGTCACTTTTCGTCTTTATGGCTGAGTTTCATAAAAGACTAATAATAATCCATCTCATCTGTATAGTGCTTTACAGCTTACGGAGCACTTTTACAAAAATTATTCCACGTGATCCTCCCACATCAACCTCAGTTAGGCACTAGTGTGGGAAGCGTCATGGATGAGTGGAAAGAGCCTAGACCAGGAAGGCAGATTGATAAGAGGAAACTTCTGAGATGTCCTACATTTGATTATAAAGGGCCAGGGGATGTGAGAGAAGAGAAATGATACAGGATGTTATTCGGTAGCAAGCTATAGGCCCTAAAGAATAGAAGAGCATTTTTCTGTTCTTGAATGTACATTAAAAGCTTCATTCAAAGCTGCTATGACTGCCTAGGTATCTGTGTATGCCCCTTGCAGCATTAACCAATCCAGACGCCCAGGCTTCTTTTGTAGTTGCTCTCCTATCACAAAGCCTTCATTGCTTCAGGTAAACCCACCCTTATTATCAGTAGCTAGTGTAGACTCAGTGTATATAGTATGTACGGTACAACATTTTCATTGTAAAGTACTCTGCCCTTTTAGATATAGGGCACTAGCCATCCACCCCCATTGACAGTTGTAGAATTTGTCCCAGCACCTAGTCACTTGTTATTCTCCTGAGCCTCTTCAATGGCTCAATAAACTCCTTTATTTCAGAAAGTTCTTGCAAGGCCTTGGGCATTTTGGTTTACTAAAATACAGTCTGGTACCAATTTTACAGATGAGCAACGTGAGCCTCCACACAGGGGCTTGGATAAATTATCAATGGTCAACAAACTCATTAACAAGTCAGCGACCTCTTTGCAGTTTTGTGAACTGTTGAAAACAGCACATTCTATATATACATAAAACATACTCAGATTAGAAAGATGAAATCTCAAACCCAGTCATCTTTTGATTCCCCCAAAGGTATAAGAAAAAAAAAAAACCTCTTCAACTATATTAAATTGATACACAATTAATTCCAGTGGGAATGAAGAAATTACAGTTCTGATGTTAGGAGCCAGGATTCCTAGGCCAAGGACAGTTCCCCCCTGCCTTTTTAAAATTTGATTCTCAGAATTATATTTTTCTGATGAATATAATAGTATATTATTTCTAATGAATATAATATTTTTTTTAATCAGAAAACAGTCCTCACCCCATCCTTAGTCAAATGTTTATCATGCTACCCACACATCATGCATCACAGTTTTAACTTTAAAGGTACTTTGAATTTTGAATATCTTACATATCCATGAGAGGAATATCAGCAAAGGCTGCATTAAGTTGCTTCCATTTCTACAGGACAGGAATCCATGACATAAAGAGGATTCCCCACTCTCAGTTATTCACCGTGGGCTTTGGGTGGATACACTCAATCTTTCTTTTTCTTTTTTCCTGTGTCTCTAAAAGACAGTGTCCCTAGTTGATATTTTTTCCCTGACTTGTTTTTGTGCATGTCTCTCAGACCACCAGTGCCGTGGTCCTCAAACATTATTATCTATAGAATTACCTGAGATGCTTTAAAGTTATATTTAGAATTTAAATTTAGATCCAAGAGTTCCACTTCTGGGATCCACTCAGTAAATCTGAAGTGGGACCTAAGGATTGTTTCTATCACCACACTTTGTCCATCAAGTGATTTCTCGTAGTTGTTGGGAAACTTGCTGCTGGAGGATAAGCTCTGAGAAGGAAAGGGGCTTCCTTTGTATCTGAAAAGGTCAAGAATAGTCCTTGTCCCACTGGTTGTCATAATATTGTTAATTAAAGTCACCTGTGCGACAAGGCCCTAATCAGGTAATCTATAGGAAAGCTCTTCCCACCTTTGACATTTGGGTTTTTATACTAAGACAAATTCTGCCACTTGATTATTCTAGAAAATGTTTAAGATTCAGTGAAAGTCATGTCATCAAGTAAACTTATATGACATGAAATGATGCTGATTTTGAACCAACGAGTAGGAAATTTACTGGCCAACAGGCATTTGTGAGAAGAGAATATACATCCCCATCAGAAGAATTCTTGGCTAACTTCTGTGTCTTGTTTTCTAATTTTGTAGGGCTTAGGAAAGATTAATTTTCTTATGTATAATTGTTAAGTGTAAGAGATGATTCAGGAAGAAATAGGATTTTCATGTACCTTTAAGAGAAAGGATCTGCATGAAGAAGCAAGATAAATGTTTGCATGTCACAGAATTGAGCTCTTAAGTTATGAAAATCTGCTACGTGGTCACTGTTGATAAGATTGTTTTTTGACTATACTTTGATGTCTCGGATACTCCAAAGAGAATGTGCTTCATGATTTTTATTTTTAACTATTTGTTATTTAATTACTCTAATTATTTATGTATTTTCTTAGTCATTTAATTTAAATTATTTAATTATTCAATTAAATAACTTAAATTATTAATAATTT